AGAGAGGGCAAGTTTCAGATAGTACAGCTCTTCTTTGTTCCTGAGTATCCCTCATGGCTGCTGCCCCCTCCTCCCGGGCAGTCCTTAACTTATATAGCCCTTGTGACCTCATTTGCCTGGTCCAATGGAGGCCAGCACCTGTTGGCTGTGAGCCAACCAATTTGAAATACATCACTAGTTGCCGGGCAGACTCTAGCCCACCAGGAAGGAAGCCCCTCACCCAGGTATGTGATGCCAATCATGTAGGCAGAGGGAGCAGGTTTCCCCCATCCCTCAGGAATGTATCCAGCTCAGGTTACCCAAAGAGATAGGGTAAAGGTATGTGTCCTCTGCTGGGCCTATCCTAATCACAAATGTCACAAAGCAGAGTTTTTGGGGGAGAAACAAAGATGGCTTTCTGCCACAGGGAGGATTCACAACGCAACCCACAGCAAGAAGGCCCTGGCAGTGGCAAGTGGGAGGTGGCCACACCCACTGCCAGGTCCCGCTTTTTCCCAGTGTCTAGCAGCAGCTTCTGCCTGGCCATCACCACCCCTGTGCCTGGGTCACTGATGCCAAAGCTGGGCAGCAGCTCCAGCCCCATCTTGGGGTAGAAGGGCAGTCCAGAGGCAGTGCTGGTAGCAGATGGGGTCTTGATTGAGCTGTCCCTGCTGAAGCTGCCATCTGCCCGCCCCAACACCAGCTCCCTGCCCGCTTGCGGCCCATCCCACATTAGGAGGTTTGGTCAGCTGTTGTGCGGCGGCAGTGGGAGGTGGGTGCCAACTCAAAACTCCCTATGTGGCCTGTGGGACAAAATAATTGCCCACCCCTGATCTAAATGTATCTTCTGCCCTGATCCTGCTGGTCAGGCTTCTTTCGTTCCCCTTTTGGCTTGGTTTATCCAGCTTTTGGCTGGGGATCTCGCCATTCCCTTGTACCAGGGCAGACTGAATATAAACACCATGGTTTTTAATGTATGTCACCCCTTCATTTCTAGGGGCCTCAAACTATGCCAGTAACTTTCTGAACCCCTCCAGAGGTACATGTTTACCAGACCACATTCTTGTATCCTTTTTAGACATGCAGCTTTGTTAATCTGATTCTCTGTCTCTCTTGGATGATGATTTGACCAGTTTGGTGTTAGGTTTTTCAAAACATGCCAGCAGTGCTGTAGCAATGAAGTTTGGCACCTGGGGCAGTGCCTGCAGCAGCAGCCCACTGTCGCCTTGCACACAGATCCGGGGGCACACGCCCCCCTCCCTCCCCATGCTTGCCTGAGAGTGCATGCAGTGGCGGGAGCTGCCTTTCCCCTGTCCCCGCACTCCACCAACAAGCTGCTTGTGGCTCTGTCCCGCACCCCAGCTGGCAGTGCTTATTGGCGCCCCTTCACTTCAGCACCTGGGGCGGTTGCCCCGCTTGCCCCCCCACCTTGCTACTGCACTGCAGGCCAGAGGCACAACCTTGAGGAGGACCAGAACACAAAACAAGTCAAATGCTAATCCTCAGCCATTGGCTCTTCTAAGTTTGAAGAGTTGTGGTTTGTTCAAGTTAATCACCACCTTACGCTACCAGCGCTAACAACTTTAGCAGAAATATAAAGATACATTAAAATTTACATTTAAACACTATAACATGTACTGTTATAAGGACAATAAAACTGAATGCAGCTACAATTGGAGACCAAACACCCCAATAGAGAACCTAATTTGGGAGAATATCCATGCATGCCACTTGGGTAACCTCCAAAGTAACTTTGTCTTGGGGTACTTCTGTGACACCCTCAACTGAAGGGAGAAGCTGTTCAGTATGTGACTGCACAGTTTTAGACATGCAAATGGCCTGAATGAGCAGACATTAATTATTCCCCTTTAGATTCTTTTATACCCAACTTCTCTTAAAAACAGCTTATAGGAGGAATTTCAGTGAGCAAGTTAGACCAGGCTTTGTCGCTGAATAATCTAGAATTTATTTCTTCTTCACAAATGGCAGGGAGGGGATCAGCAAATAGTCTCTCTTCTACCAATACATGGTTATCTTTGTCAACTGTATCTTAACTACTAATGTTCTTCCGGATAGCTCAGTCTGTCTTCAGGGCCAGTAGACCCTTCTCTTACAGATCTCAAGACTCCATAGTTTCCTATCCCATATGCTACTATTTCTAAACCTGATTTTTTGTGCCAAAATCGAGTTAATCGTTCATAGATTCATAGATGCTAGGGTCGGAAGGGACCTCAGTAGATCATCGAGTCCGACCCCCTGCATAGGCAGGA